TAAATCCACTGGTTATTTATCGACTACCGAAGCCTACAGTATTTGTTTGCTGAATTTATGGTCAGTGTTGAGTTAATAGTGAAAGACACCCTCAGATATTCTACCCAAGGTAAGAGTAATCAAACAGGAGAACCCCCAAGCATGTGGAGGGAAAACGTTGTAGCTACCTTTAAATTCATGTTTGCTGATCACATTTAATTCTACTGCAGCTCACCCAAGAGTGGGGAAATTTTTCGAACTGACTGATTTAAAGTAGAAACTATCTACCAGAAAAGGCAGTCAAGAGGAGACCAGTTCTATCCGGTCCCAGATTTGCCCTCTAATTGAGGGATACCAATGAAGCTATATAGTCCGATAGGTTAGAGTCTCGCGGCAGCTCCTGCCCAAAAATAACTTCTAAGCAGTCTTGCCGCACTGCCGTTTGGATACGGATGCCTAAACTCAGATTCTGGTGAGCAAAGCAGATGCGTTCAAGCCGCATCAGACTTGAGGTTAAACTCAGTGATTTTCAAAACCGGCAACCACAGTCTACCGCTGGCATTCAGAGTCTCTACTTTTACGGGCTGGCTTCTTTTAACCTATCTCTCTCCAGAAAAGATAGCACCTAGTCCGTGAATATGAGGATGATGGTCACCTAAAGCATACACCCATCAAGATTCACACTTCTAGGACAACAGGAGTTTACCCCCAGACTATCCTGCAGTACGACTGTCCGTAGTACGGAGCACATTGGGCGTTATGCGGTCGTTTTATTCAGGGGGGAGGACAAACCAGTATAGCATACAGGCTAACTACAACACCAAAGCTCGACCACCAAGTTAAGGGGGTACGTGATGATGAGGTATGTGCTCCGCGGGCCCACCTCGGTCGTATATCGACAGATAGTCTTATTCTCTAGGACTTGTCCGCTCACTTAATTATTGCAAAAGTCACGAGCAAATGAGCAGATCACCATGGAGGAATTATCCACTGCCAATTTGTCCTTGATATACCCGTTAGGTAATCCGGTTACTGCTGGAAAATATCGTCTTTTGTGCTGAACTGCATATTACCTTCACACAACTTCCAGCTGACGGACCACTTTTACGAAGATCGAATCGCTGCTGCAGCGTAAGTAAATCCTCGTTGGAAACGGTAATAGTCCTTTATTTAATTTCTAAATGTCTGCATTTAGGTATGTTTCGGGAAAACCTACAAACTGCCAGCCATGAGGTCTGCGAACCAGATACCTTGCAAGGTTTCTCCCGTATTTCACGTCCGTTAGGCTGTGGATATCGGCGAACTCTAATGATCCCTGGAATGACCAGCAGGGCTTCCTAGTCAGATAACCTAGGCTGCCGTCACAATTCTCTCCCAAGATAAATGAACCCGTTAAACAAGAAATGCGTGGTGAAAGTAAATCGTAGTGGTACTCACTTAAAATCGATGAAATAATGTCACAATGGCCGATTAGATTGTTTGCGGAGGTGCTCTGTAGACTATACATGCAAAAGGATTTGGAGACAAGCCTTAATAAATCAACTGTCGAGTGATGGTGAGTTACTTGTGGCAATAGGAACACGTTCCTGTTCGACCCATACATCCGGGGGAACCACTGCGCATACGGATCTCAGCATTCGATACCAGGATTTAGTTTTATGGTCGTTACTGTTCAGACGCATTGAATAACCTATCAGTTGGCCATATTAGTCGCAACATAATTTTTGTCCGTTCCAGGCAGGTTCACTTATGATGATTTATTAGCTTGTTCAAACGTACGCCTCGAGGTTTTTTCAGGGAACAAGAAAATGACATCCCTTCTAAAACTAGATACTTCAAAAGCAGAACAACGTACACCACGTTTCCCATCGTTCACTAGTTGTTCGGACTAATGAGCATCTTACTGTTTGATCCCACTTTCCATGTGGTTCTCATAACTAAGCAGACTATTTTTCAATAAGTACAGACCTTTTTGTAGCCTTTTTATTTAATAAGTTAGATTGCTAATCGATCTAGGTAGGTGAACCAGGAGGCTTCCAAATTTCGTTACTCTGATAACCATGTTCCTGTTCAGAAGCGCACTGTGAGCCACCGACTACGGCTTGTTATGCTCCTCCAAGACTCTTTGGCTGAAACCAAGAGCTTATGCGAGATCAGTTGAATGAAGAACCAAGCGGGGATTCCAATCGTCCCCGGGATAAAATGCAGTACGGAGTGGGGCCGTCTCCCAAGGCATTTCAATACCAGTTTCAAGCTAGTCAAATAGTTAAAGTAGGTAGAATATCACCTTACCGGTTGTTGACTTACCGTGGATTCAGAGAGGACAAACATCTTATGGTTGGACCCTCCAAAGATACAATTTTTCGGGCAAAGTATCAAACCACAAATCGGTTCCCAGCGGTCATAGGCGGAACAAAAAACAGCTTACGGCGGGTAAGGAGCAAGCCCCCGAACGAACGCCTTGAATTTAGAATTCAGGAGCGGTCACGTCTCAATGAGGTCGGAAGGCATCAGATAGTTTCTACCGCGCGATCGGGAGTTCCTGAAGCTCACTTATTTGTCAGCATCATAGACGATAAATACGGGCTTTCAACCGCCATACGCACACGAGGCGACACCTAAGTAAGGAGTGGGAAGGAAAACGCAAACGTCTGCCCACTTCAGACGGATTTCGGGTAGCGCGAACGGAACAGTCGTAGCATGTAATTTTGTTGATAAATTTGTCTAATTCGCCCGTATTGTGTCAATATGAAGTTTCAGAAAGCCGAACCACCGATTGCGACCTCTATCCTGTTCTTTCTGAACGCATTCAATTTTATTCGGAATCCTGTCGCTTACGCTGAAAACTGTCCATATGTTTAAACTCATGCGATTTCACACTTAAGCTTAAAGCAGCAACATGTTTCGGATATAAAATATACGATGGAACATTTCGAGTGGCTACTTTCGTACGATAGTCTGCCTCACTACTGACTCGAGTTGGGTTGGCTTTTTTGGACGCTTATGAAGAGAAGCCTGACTCTGGGAAAGAATACTTACAAAAAACTTTTGAAACTCTCCAAGCCATGCAACGCTTGGGGAAATGATACTCCCTGTTGATTCCCCCGTGAATCAACCGTGCACAGCGGTAACTTTCCGTGTTCTGGCTACTCATGAGTAACGACTTACGCCTGTTTATTATGAGGTCGTTTTGTTCCCTTGCTGCTCGTTTCCCCCCTGTGTCGCCTCTACTTAACGTCTGCTTGTTCTTCCGACGGAAGAGTGGACCGACAGGGTATCGGACCCAGAGCTCCCGAACGGTAGGCGAACGCGCTGACAAACAGACCAACCTGACAACAAGGTAGGCCTAATTTTTTGCTCTACCCATGTACCGCACCTGCCAGATAGTCTATGGCGAGATTTGTTTTTAAACGGACGAAACCACACAGTCTGACTTGTCACGTGACACGAGCTGCCGCGTTGCGCCGCCAACATTACATCCCAAAAGTACTGATTTTCTGCGCCGTTATCTCTATACGGCCAACTCACGTCACACTGCCCGTATATGTATTCTTGTACATCGTTTAGTGCTTACTTGTTGTTGCTTCTAGGAATCCCTGCTGCTTCAGTGACTATTTTCCGCTCCTGCCGATTGCATCATTATTGATCGTACGTTTGCTTAATTCACGATGCTTACTAGCTCGTTTGTCTGTAGAACCAGTTCTTGTCAGTCCTCAATAGATCATCTGCTGCCCACGTCTGTCTGGTCCTACTGTCTACGAACTGCGTATAACCTAACAGCTGCAACCGTCCTGTGAGATCCATGGTCACCCGATCTTACTCCCCCACTGACCAGAAACACGGAAGTCCACGACGCTATAGTGCGCGGCGTTTCGTGGGCATCTTGAGATATTTATATCCAATAGATGAGATGATCCGTCTGAACAGCAGGCAGCCTCTACGACAGAGTTAGCCGGATAAAATAAACGCGGCGAGAACTACTTAAAATATACTGACTCAAGCATTCCAAAACATGAATTTCAAGGTTTTTGAATAGCTTAACCTCTCGTGAGAGATTAGCTCTCGGAAGCGACCCCTTCTATGCAATCCTTTCGGGTCGTAGTTGCGGAGCTAGCAAAAAGATGTGAGATTGGGACGTGAACAGTGAGAACAGTTGGGGAACGAGTGAATAGCACTATTCTATTAACCCGATGATTTGAGAATAAGCAACAGGTGAACATCATGACTGATTCGGACTTGTCAAGCAAGACATCTCCGACATTTCTATGAACACGAAATACACCGCCTCTTCTGGGAAGTTGTTAGTTTTAATGTCGACGATTTAGTTCCTCCGAAAATTACCGGTTCGAGGATTCCAGAACAAAGGAAGTGTCCAGTACCACTTATTCACCGTATCGTTGCCATTCTTCAATCACCGACATGCAGTTTCATTATATTTTGAACGAACTGGAACAACTTGTGATGCAGATGCAAAGGATTATGTTCATTCAGAAGAGCTTGGCTAACTTCGGCCCATTCGTGACAGTTGGTTTGAACGGTGAACGGATCCTACCCGAGATAAGCTTCTAAGAGACCAGAGTGAAAAAAGACAGTCGCCGCGTACAAGCGAACATCGTACACAAGTTAACCAGATCCTGAAAAGCCGTAGCAAACACAAGAGTAGGGACAGGCCCACAGCTGATGCATCGACTGTACAGAGTGACTTTTATTGGTTAACCCAAGGTTTTAGAAGGTGGCGAATTCAGGAACTGCCACTTGTCGCTTAAGAACTGAGTTTCTCGCTCACTCTATAACTGGTACACAGTGATGCTTTGATACCGCAGTTTTCTGCCTCTCTCCGGGGGGAGACGAGCCCACGTAAGATATCGCATTTAATCGGTACATTGAAGAAGCCCATCGAGAGCAGGTAATTTCGAATAAGGGTGATTCGGAATTCCCTGAAAATGGAGACTATCTTTCATCAATGAAAAAATGAACAGTTTCATATCAGTATCATCAGTTTTTTATATTGCATGAAGACACCAAAATTGACCTACACGTGAATGGGTGAGTCGGATCAGGACAAACAAACGGAAGGGAAACTGTGAGAAAGACAATAAAGAATACGCAAAGTCGTGTATTCTTGAAGCAGATCGCTGCTCTGAGCGGAAGAGCACAGAATGTTGCCAAGGGGAGGGACAATACACTAACCAGCCGGAAAGTGTCTACGGAGTAGAATTAATGTGATTGCTGTTGAGGGGGGAGGTGGGAAGGCCAGTGCGTCGTCGTTGTCAACGGGCTAGATTTCACATGCTGGCGACCAGAATAAAACTAGTTGGATTTGATATGGACGCAAATGCAGCAGACCACGAACAGAAGGATTTTAAAAAAATTGACGTGGCACATCATCTCACAAACCGGAGAACTGAAGTCTCCGCAAGATGAGACTTTTGTTCGCCGGAATTAGGGGGGAATGAAGACAAGTTTAAGTTCTATTATACACAATGAGGAGCAAGAAAACACCAGGAACCACGCGACAGTGGTTCACGTAAGAAAAGCTGAAAAAAGACACGTTTGCCCTCAATCGGAATGCAACCAATATTGAGGAGAATATACATCGGAGGCTGACTGCTCGTACAGAAGCTGATTGTCACAAATCTTCATGACGGTCTTTGAAGAGACAACCACTCTGAGTACTCACCCGAGGACGGCCAACATGGGTGAGCAATAGGATATGAGAATGACGGTGACAACTTTTCCCTCATTCTCCAACAAGACAGGCAGTTGCGTTTGTGGACCGAACGCGTCCATGTAGGAAAGTATCAGCATGGGGAGCCACAGTAGCAATGGAATGGGCTGGACAAAGGCAACGGTTGTGGCGCAGATCAGTTGGGAGGGAGTGTGAGAGGTTGTAAAGATGGACACGCCAGGGCTTGTTGCATCTGTTGTTGTTGCGGGTTCTGGTTCAGGGGAAAGGGCGAGAGCATCTGTTGATTTGGAGAGGAAGGGGTCAACGAGGCCAAGTTCCCCGAGGAGTATGAAGATAACAGACACGACGTCGGGGGGTTGCCAACAGGTCCAGGTAAAGTAGAAGTGTCCAGATTGTGCCTAGGTGCAAAATGTTGAGACATGGATTGGTCGAATTCCACATTAAATATGGTGTGAGTAAATGTCACATCGTCTAAGGAAATTCAGGTCGGCTGTCAGACAGGACCAGTCGTGATCAGTATGATCCGAAGTCTCAAATAAACTGGGCAAATAAAATCATTTTTCCCACGTGGTTTCTTGTCAAATCCCCTCATCAGATACTACATACAAAACTAATGCGTTGCTCTGTGAATTGGTGATGAAACTCCGTCCTCTAAAATGCAGCTATTTATTTCTGAATGCTAGGGGCCACGCATGACAATAATTACGGAGCCCCTATTAACCTAACTGACTACAGAGCAATGTCATACTTATACCGGAAATTCCACGACTTCCCTCGCTTGCTCGTCCCAGGTCAGACACGAAGCCTTGTGACCCAACACTAAAAAGTTCGTTTAGCTTGCGAAAAACCATTGAGACCAACTGTGGACAACTCTGACCACAGTATTGTCAACGTTGTATTACACTTCCCCACACTGCTCTACAAGCACTTTTCGATGTGATAGGAACGACTATTTAATCTGTAATAAAAAAACTCACACAGTGGGACTATCATCTGTAGAAGGCGTCCCAAACGGCAATCCTGAATAAGGTTAACAGTTTGGCAACTTTCCATTCGATAAGACCATGTGTACAGTACGGTTTCCGCCAACAACTGACTGGGTTAAGGCCGTGCATCCCAGCCCAATTAAACTAATCGTGGCATAAATGTGGGGCCTTTTCGGTTCATTTTACCCTTCTGGCTCGCTCCAGACGCCAGATGGCTCAAATGTTTAGAGCGCGAATTTACTGACCGGAAGATCCGTGGTTCAAACCCGACTTCTACCTTTCGACTTCCCCTGTCTAGGCTTGGGTAACCTGGCAGAAACCTAGCCCTCGTGCTTTCTTCGGGTTGCATGGCAGCTAAGTGCCGGATGGGTTACAGCTGAGCGATTCTGGCTCGCTCGACAGTCAAGATGCAACAGCTAAGCGCCGTAAAAACTCATCAGAATTCATGCGTAGTCAGGTTACTGCTTTATCACGTCGATCTCTCTGAATTCATCTGCGTAAATCTCAAACTGATGATTCAGGTAACATAAGACAGCTGGTATTTCCACTAACATGAGTTAAGGTGTGTATAGATAAATTTGACTACGGTGGTTGGAACAGGGTGGAATCCTTTTAGTTTTCATACGGTTCAGTCCGTGTATGTTAACGGAACGTAGATGGTAGTTGCATCTCTCGACATCCGAGAAAGCTTTTTTATCGCCACCTACCGTGCTTAAGCAGTTGTGAGGGAAAACATCAGAGAAATCAACTTATCCATGTGAAGAATACAGCTGAAACACAGCAAGTTCTACCATCGACTTCTCGAGTCCGACTCTCCCGCTGTCAACTAGAGTAAAACATGGTGGTGCCTTGTGATGTGAGGGCAAACCGCCCAATACAGGGGCCGAAGCTACTCTGGGTGTGGAACCAGACATTCACACATTTAGATCGAACGTGCAATTTGTAGTGGTACCCGCGAAACGTGCAGAGTTTATTTGACTAACGGTCATCGCCCCATACTAAACACCCCCAGTAAAACTCACTTTAACTGAGCTTTTGGTTTCAGATAGTCATCATTACACAACTGAAAGACATCCGGTCGGAGCTCCTTTCGGTAGGTACAACATTTGCGGATGAATTCCTGTGGAAATAACGAGAAAATTGGGCGAATCGAATGAGCTTAGACAGGATGGATTTGCCCGACGTAACACAAAAAGCACGAGGAACACGCGTAGAAGAATAACAACTCGAAAGCAGTAGTTGCTTTGTATGTGAAGACCGGACAAATAGAAAGCAACTCACTTTTGCACCATCGCTAACTTTTGTAGTCGAAGGAAACACAATGTTCCGAGCATGTAAAATTGTGTTCTCGTGGAGGATATCAGCTTGCGACATATTATGTCCAAAAGGCTGGAAAAAGGAATAACATGCAATAACTTGCCAAGTATTCAGCATCGTAGTGATGTTGTCAAGCGGAAATTCCTAGTTCAAAATACGCGCCGAGGTAGGGTCAAGTGAAAACGGTATTGTTAGAATACGGTTGTAGGATCTGACGCACCCATTGGTAGAAAACAAAAATTTACAGAATACTAGGTCACCACGTTGTGTCCTAACAAAGACGCATCCCAAATTACTCATTAGTCTCAAACCACAATAGCACAGGTAAAATTAGAGCAGTCACTACGCAATGAAATAATGCGGGCTAAATGAGTCAAATGGGCAACTTGTCTTATTCGTTAAAATAACTTTCCAGGTAAAATACGAAGTCGATATTGAGTAACTGAAAAAACGTTCAGCTGTAGCGCCCTTCCCGTGCCTAGCTGCCATACCACCCGAAGGAAGCACAAGGGCTGGGATACCACCAGGTTGCACAAGCCTAGACAGGGAAAGTCGAGAGGCAGAGGTCGGGTTCGAACCAGGGACCTTCCGGACGATAAATTCGCGCTCGGAATGCTTGCGTCATCTCGCCCCAAGTTACTGTGAGCGTAGGACGTTAGCGCAAATGCAGACAGTGCACGAAACGCTATTAAGATCATGCCTTTTTTCTCGATTTTTACCACTACCGCTCAATATAGAATATCGAAATTTTTAACAAACTCCATTCAGATCTACTGTTAATTTTGGTTTCGTATGCAAGAAGTTTCCAAAACATCGTGTTATCTGCAGAAAGAGCGAAAAACTTTAGCAAGACTATGCCAGTACTCCGACCAATAACTATCTTTGAGCTAAATTGGACAAGTGCGGTGCTCCAAGATTCAACCGGTACTGCTCCAAGGTTATTTTATCAGCGTGTTTTAAAACTTGATAGATCGATGAGTTATACTCTCGATGTGAGAAAAACAACAAATCATATGAGGCAAATGAAGGGAAGCGCACAAACAACTGTTAATTTTGGGGGTGGAGAAATCAAATTAATCTACAACAACAACGGAATGAACTGCGGAAGCATTGGGACGGAATTCATTTGACAGAAAGTTGAGATCGGTCCAAACGACAACTCTGGGTGACGTCATTAACCCAATCAAGAAAAAGACCTCAGTTCGCGCTTGGAAAATCTCCATTCATCAAGCAAAATCAGTGGATTTTTAGTGAAATCCTAACAATCCTCCTGGACACCGTTTCAAACTAAGCATTGTTCAAATTCGCCTGGCTGAGTGATCAGGCCTCCGGTTCGCTTTTTAATTCCTCATGCCAATCTACCGTTGTTTGTTTGCAGTATTCCGACTGTTGTATTGCCAAACAGAACAAACAATGTTCACTAGATGACCTTGGTCTGTGTGAACTTTCAGCTGCACAGTGTGAAACATCCTGATGAGTAACCAGCCGACTTTAGCCCGAATTCGAGCTGATGATGCTGCCATCACAGTCTCCTAACTGAATTCCTACCCCCGTAGGTGAAAAAATGGGCAACGGTCAAATGTGCATGGCAATTCAAAGCGAAAGCAATTGAGATCCGCATATGAACCGAAAGCCAGCATAGCGAATGCAAGATACCTCCAATTCGCACCAGGTGTTCCCAAGCGTGGGTGGATTACCTATGCCTTCGAAAGGTTAGCAACTAGCATGCACATGGAGCAGAACAGAAGCTCATGTCTTATGAAGGAAGTGATTTTCAAGGTTGAGAAAAAAGGTGAAGTTTAGACGGCCGGGTTTGGTTTGGATACGTTACCGAGGAACCTGTACGGTTTCAGAAGCCAATCTTGTCACTTCTACCAGTTCATATGAACTCCGATTTTAGCGAATATACACTCATCTGCAAACTAATTTGGTTCTTTCGAGAGACTCACCTGGAACCCAGCTGAATCTCTCGTTTGTGATGTTCTCAGGCAACTGAATGTGCTGCACCAGGCCGCCTCATGTTTCAGTCGCTACGATATTCGAGATATCGCGATAAATGTTTGTAATGTACTACTCATAAGGTTGGTGAAAATCCATCGATCATAAAGACAGGCGGCCTTGTTCGCCTCTCGCACATTACACAATAACCGAGGATCAGTAAAAGTGTTCGTGGGTTGATCAAAGAGCACTGTGATACCCTTGAAATTATAATATCCTCAGAGTACATCATTTCCAGGCTATCGTAAAAGAACTGAACCTAAACCAAGTCGTTCAACATATTCTCAAATGGGTATTGGATTTAAGCGGAAGTAAATTGCAATCTGGCCTGACTCGTGACAGAAACAATATACTTGACTAGTTCGAAAAAATACTACGCATTGCGGAGAATCTAGGCACGTCCATAAAACCTCGTGGAGAGCGACGGTACACTGAACGGTTGTCACAGAACAAAACGATAGCAATAAAGGGATGTCACGAGGTAGTAGATCGGTTGAAATCCCTCTCTGCGGGCTTATTCGCTAATATCATAAATTAGTTAAACAAGCAATCTGAAGGGTATCGATGATCCACTGCTTCTCAGAAGCAAACCCAGTGAGCAGTTCACCGAGTCTAGTAGGATTCCATTAATTTGCTGAAAGCGAACGTTTGGATGAAACATTATCGAAGCATCACTTGCAATCTAACCACCAACTGACTTCGGACGAAATACACGGGCTACAACTACAAATTGTAGTGCTGTGGCCAAAATTTAAGCTTCCGTACGTCAAGAGACGAGACGAGATACTTTTTCAATCTGGGATAGTAAGCTGGTGCAGTAGCTGTTCAAACTGGCTATCGACAGGGAAGAGACTGTTTCTCGCACATACGTGTTTGTTCCAAAGAACTAGTGCTAAACCGGCTCTGTTTCGTCGTACGAAGCAAGCCAGTCGCCAGATTATTCGCTGAGCAAGAATTTTCACGTCCCAACCAGCACAACTGACTAAAACTGTAAGGATCCAAAAAATGTACACACGTGGGCGCTTTTGTTCTCACTAGAACTCATCAGCTGCGGGTAGAGAAAAATCACAGAGAATGTTAGGCACTGTATACTAATAACAAATGATTTCCAAACGGTTTCCATCATATCCATCTAAACGCACATGTCTCAATTTTGGCTTCCTTCAGAAATAACTTCAGATGCACTTACTACTAATGAGTAACTCTGAATCAAGATATTGGATATCTGTTGACAGTGGTAACGTGTGGACGGCCGAGCGCGTGACACAAAAGACTGACAACCCTGTACTCCTATGTGACGTAGTGGGTAGAGATGCCCGTGGACAATGGCGGAGTCCGAGTATGTAGAAAGCCATAATGAATGAACGTGACAGTCGGAGCACCTCAAGAAAGCCACGGATAATGGACACTGCCGGATTATTCAATAGCTTGAAATCACATTGAGCAATTCAACAAAATTGCGAAATATGTTTGAGTCACTCGATAAGACATGCAACATGAAAACGCTTGCTCCTCATTTGATCGAACTGAATTAAATATCTCAGTATACTCAGTTGATCGTAATCATCCCTAAAGGTGGCACTCCAGAGTTTTGCCACACAAAACTTTTCAACCATTTCGGAAAAAACCACCCGGTCTGCTTTTTTCTCCATTATAAATAAGATAACATTACATCTAAAATGCCAAAAATATTCCCACATGCACCTGCAGGACTACAGATATAGTAATGTGCAAGAGAGAACACTTGATTCTGTGAAGCGGAATTTGGTTCGATTCGTGAAACAACCGTAAATATCGTACCAATTATGTCGACTTTACCCGTAAAAATATGGAGCACTCATGAAAAAATGCAGCTCTCTGCCCCACGCCGTCTAGAAAGGCTTCCCAAAAGGGCACTTGCAAAAACATAACAACAGTGCCTTACCTTCTTTCCGAAGAGACACTGGAAAAATATGACGCCAACGGACCAGATATCTACTTTGGATGAGATCTTGGGTGGCTCCCGACCGGTTTCGAAACATTCCGGGGGAAGATACCAGTATGTTCCAGCTCCCTGAGACGTTAGATCCATGCCAGTCTCCGGATTATACTCATCCTCGGTCATCAGTTTGCTTAGTCCAAAATCTGTGATCTTAATCTCCCCAGCAACTTGCCCAGAACCAAGCAGAATATTGCCTGAGGAAAGACAATGAAAAACGACGTGTACAAAAGTGGTCAACGTCAATCACAGATAAGCTGCTGAAGACGAAATGTCATCTTCAAAACCCAATTGTGACGGTCTTAAATAATGAGTAATACCAGAACACAGTCAATCAAGGAATTGGCCCACAATTGTGGGCTACTTGTGGATACCTCAATGTGGAGACGTGAACAGAGTAATTTCTACTATCCCACTGCTATTCGTGGGTCAAATCACCAAACTAGTGATATGTCAGACGCCTTGACGCAAGAAAGCCACGCGGATAGTCCTGAAATTGCTATTTTCCTGTGGGACTACGGACGGCGTCCAGTAATATCAACGGATGAAGACTTACAACGATATCACTAAGCATTCATTGACATTTGTTAACGGTTGAATGATACTTTTCATCCACTTTGTCATTCGGAGAAGGTTGATGGATTGATTGTACACGCAACAAGGAAAAATTTAGGAAACCTCGTTTTGACCAACTTCACTGTCAGTGTCAGTAAGATCGATCACAGTGCTTTGGTGAACGGATCCACTGCTGATTGGTGGGCGCTCATTTTCGAACATCATGAACTGGTAATAGGGAGTGCTCGAGTCATCTCCATAGGAACGTTTGTACCAACAACCTGGGCGTAATCAAGCGCACTACATTGGTGAACGATCTGGCAAATCTGGACAGCTGAGGTTTGTTCCGTGTATAACTTGCTTGCTAATTTGCAAACATTTACCGTGACTTTCCTGCGATCCACAGCCAGAGGATTCCAAATAAGAAGAATAAAAACTGGGCACAATCGAAACTTCGCAACATATTCTTAGTAAAACTATGTGCGGCGGACGACCAGCGACCGTTGAGCATTTATGAACTGAAAATAACAATTTCAAACTACAGAAGGGGTAGACTGAACCGCATGAAACGGGAAATCAAACCTGGTTTCAAATCGTAGTGGATCACAGGGGGTTTCCTTTCGTTCAAGTATTTCAATGCTGAAACAACTTGGCATATAATAGACTTGGCTTCCCGCTCCGGTATACTTTTGTTCTGCTTCAGGAAGAAATCCAGATCGTTGCCCTCACTGTACTCCAAAACGGTGCAAAAACTGGATGAAAAAAAAGAACACACAAGTGGAAACGAACGGTTCACGAAACCTCTGAATCGTACACAGGAAAAACAAAACCATGCTTATGTTGGATTAGTAAAACGGTGACCAAAGGTCAAGTTACTGCGCAATCATGCTTATGTTGGATTAGTAAAACGGTGAGGTTTCGGTGACCAAAGGTCAAGTTACTGCGCAACGACCATGGTTGGATCGCTAAGGTTATCGTTTTAGATCTTATGGGAGAGATATGCGGTTCCGTTTTCAGGTAACCAAGGACGGAGAGAACGAAGAAACCATAAAGCGTTTGGGATACGAGCCTGTTCAGTCCTGACACTAAATCACTCAACTTTCCTTACCAAATGAAGACTGAGGTAACTACACATGACAGCAACGGCTTTAATACAAGAGCTACGGCCTGTGACTGAGACAGATCTGCCAGTAACACTGACTAATGATCGATCTATTTTTTGGTTCCTCATCCAACACTACATAGCTCATTAGTCGGAGTTGTCACACTCCGTGACCCCGTGTTGGATAACCCTTAACTCACACAGCTATTTTGAGATGCGGCTCTCCTAGAGAAAGGAGTGTAGCCTAACCAAAGTAGCTCATGAACTGAGAGCAGCTCTTCTATAAAGAGCGATCTCCCTTCATAAAACTGCTTGCTGTTGCCATCATGTCTGATCAATAGGTTGGGGACACGGACGGCTAAATACCGGACCGTCGTAAATCGTACAAATATAAGGTCTACGTTCCTCATCTGGGGAACAGAACGACCGGATAGCAAGAAATTAGTCTCCATACGATGGACAGGGGGCGAACGCTTTCTTTCTTTCTTAACTACACAGCTTTCTGAACGATGCACACTATCAGCCTTGAGTTATATGTTTGTGCTGCATGCTGACGCAAATGAGTCTGTCCGTTTGGTTCGCCTGATTCCTGGCGTGAAAATTACGCCAAACCACAGGATCGAATAATTCAAGCCACCTAAAACAGATGAATTTTTGATGATCCTGAATTCTGAATGTTAGGATGAAAAGATGTCGGTGCAGACAACCAAACGCTAGGGATATCCAAACACCATCTATACCCCCACATCAAAGATAATACAAGGTTCATTTTCCAAACAATCAATATTCAATCGCTTTAGTAGGTCCCTGATGTAAGATATAGACCCCAGGACAAACTCCAAAGCGAACAGTTAGACAGTTAACTAAGCCATTTCGACTAACAGGTCGAATCGATCGAAAGGGTACAAGTAGCAAGTGAGACAAATACAAAACACGACAAACCGAAGTCATGACAGTGCATACCAGTTACACACACCAAACATGTGCAACCAACCTGAAGACCAGACAGGACATTAACCCTACTTAGTGAGCCATTTTGATCGATTATTGTGTTCCTTCCACTAACTGTAAAATATTGCCGAGCCTAATCATGTTCACGGCAAGACGCATACCGAAATATTCGAATTAGTTCGCTTTCGGAAACAATGAATCAAGACGTGGTTGAAATTACAGGGAGGCAAGGGGTCAGCTAAACCAATACTTCTCAGCATTGCTAAGGCGGTGAACCTTCCCCCCGCCCCATTAGTTTATCCCCAAGATTATGGGTACTCCAACAAAACCTGGTTACTGTGTAAATCGACGGGATCTGCGAAACGTGATGGCCTTAGAAGGATGATCGTCAAGGAGTGTTTTCAACCGAATACCCGTCTAAACACAACACATATTTCAGTGGTAGATGAGGGAGAGGAGTCGGGCCAAATGTGCCTGTAACGACTAATGGCGGTAGACATGGTGTTCGAGTCATCAAATAGAACGAACTTGAAGCAACCAAAGAAAAGCAGACTGTGGATAGGTTTCGCTATAAATATATCGGAGGATTTTCAACGATTCGGTGAGTTCCCGGAAGACCCTTTGTTTGAAAAATGCTAGTGTGACTCAGCTGACCTTTTTGTTTATGACTGTTAGTTGATATGCAATCAGACGATTCCGTGCATGCAACCATCGAAGATTTGTTTAAAATCATAACGGCCGTTTTCTTCAGTCTGATTTGCATCAATACTCAAAACCAAAGTGTGCAAGAGACCCATTGTTATAGCACACATTCTGAAAAAATATACTTGGAGGACAGTTGGAAAATGGATATCACTATTCTGTCACTTACGCATCGTGGTCGATATCGAACACATCAAAAACCTTGACGATCCGGGGATGATTCAGGGTTTTGTGAATATTTATTTCGCGCAAGGCATGTCTAAAACAGAGAATAAAAGTACGAGTGTGATATCAGCTCACGAGATAACGTGCAGACGGGCACTTCTCACAGACTCAGCAAGCCAGTCGAAAGGAGGTAACTGAAATACTGGAAACAGTGGTAATGTGGTCGGCGGTTGTGAAAACAAGATAATTCAACTGGTAAAGTTCCGCTTCATGCACCTTAAAACCGACTTCAACGTGAAACAAAAAATCCTACGGCACAGTAGTAGTAAGTACAGTTGGGCGGACGGCAAAAGCCGACTGTAAAAACGAAACAGCGGAGAGTTCACGAGATAAATCCGTAATTCTTACTTGATATAATTATCTTTCTTATCCTTTGGCCAAGCAGGGTTCAACTGATGTACTTTGCAGGCGACATACCGATTCTCGACGAGGTCGAATCCCTAAAAATGAGAGAAAAGTTTCCAAGTGAGTCGAAACCATATGGTAATGAAAAACTGGGAAGCACCAAAAGAGAATAGAGCGTGTGCCCAATAAAATTATGCTGGTGGATCTTTGCAGTCAAGCATATTCCGCGTCTTTGGGTGACATGGAAAATTGCACGACGAAAGTGAAGGGAAACAAGCCAAGAAAAACAACAGGTTGTTGAGCAGTTTATGCGGATTCAGATGGAAAGATAAGTAAGAATGCCGTCCAGCTAGATACAAAAAAGGAATCCGACCATCATGAAACACTATTCATAAGGCTGCTAAAAGCCACTCGATAGCCCACGATAGGCTTTCTTCTTCTTAGAGCTCATCAGGTAGGCGCAGTCCCGAATTCTCTCTCTACTTAAAGCCTAATTGGACGCAAGTAATGAAATACAGGAATTCGGTTTTTACAGGGAGATCCAACTGAAACCAAACTGAATATTATAAGAGATTCAGCTTGAAGCCAGTTGTCTGCCGTTAGTGTGCAATAGAGGAGAATCTAGTCATCCTTGCTCGATCTAGTAAGGCTCGTAGACTGGCGACCGCCTTCGATAAAAAGGTCATCACCTTTGGTCGTTTAGCAGTGAAAAAACGCATCACAACCCCGAAGACCGGGTACGTTTGCAAAATACTCTGCGCCTCCGGCTAGAAGGATGTAAACCCTGGAAGAATTATTACTACGATTTGCAATGCAACCAATGGTTAAGTATGAAACTGAAATAGCAATGTTTAGACGATACATAGGGTACAATAACTAGCGTGAGAATACAGGTTCTGCGTATTCCTGAAGGAGAATCATTTGAGACAATTTTGCCAGGAAACAAGTGTGCGAGTAATCTGTAGACTACGTGAACCTGAGACTTAAGAAACCATGGGAACTGTAGCCTGGTAGCAAATCCCCCCAAGCAATCTATTCTTATCAGGGATATTCATTGACTCATTCTAACGTTTGATCTGACCTCTATCTGGCGCATAATGGGGAGATCGATTAGCACCACGGGCGTCCGCTATTCATAGGAGGCAAAAGCATGGTACGCAATCTGCCTAACGACCCAAGACTTTGTCCCCTCGTACCATGACCTACTCCTTATTACGGCAGACGTGTGCGTTTTTGAGGTCAGAACAGAGAGGGGGAATTGTATAGTAAATGATACACACAAACATCCGCTAGTTTCGGTCAGTCAGAAAGGTCGACTGAACCGGTGTTCGGAGAGCCACATGTTTGACTAACTAACTACTACCGAAAGGGATGGTTGCATCAATGGCCTACCTTATGGACCTCGGAGAAGCCACCCTTCCCAAGCAGATTGAGGAGCAGGTATCGTTCGTTCAGAAGTGGATGGTCCTTGAAACGGGATGCGTCCTCGTTCGCAATGCGTTTGATCTCACGTATATGCAGATTCCGCTCTCGGTCAAGACGTTCCAGTTCAAGTTGAATCTCTTTATCCTCTTTGACGAGCATTTGCTTTCGTAAATCATAGATCTCCAATTGTTCGTAAAATTCATCTACGGAAACTCTGAGAAATAAGACCAGTGTGGAAAACATTTCAGAGAGATAGTAAATGAGGTAATCATTACTTTAGTACTCAGCTGATAGATGAGCATTGATGATTGAATTTTCAGCCAAGTGAGTGAAACTATTAAATAGTGCATTAATAGAACAATTAAACATTGCAGAAACGATAACCCAGCACGATGAGAAAACAGTGGAATAAAGTTGCCACCTACTCATCGCCCCTAGATTTGGGGTTCTTCTTTCCATCGCCTATCGTCGGTTTTCGTTTGTTCCACTGTTTCTTCTTTCGTTCAATTTCTTCCCGGACAAGCTCGATATTTTTGCGTCGCCTGAAGGATAGAATTCACAAAATTGAGTCAAAGATGTAACAAAAATCAGCCTAAAAAAGACACTGAACTGGCTGTTCGTCTGTTCACTGAGCTGGGCAATTTGGCTTCAAATGTTTCATCATTGGTTAAAATGACGTCATCGGTGCGTTGAGGAGCACTTCCACTCACGACGGACTAATTATGTACCTCAATTTGGTGATGAAACGTTTGCAACCGAATCGCCCAGCTCAACAAACAAGCCAACGACCATCCCATACAGAATCGTTGACCCGAATAGTTGCCTTGTTTATATTGACCGGTCTTTCGCTTTCATTGTTGGACTGCGTGGCCATGTTCTGCTTATCGACACTGAGTACTTTTGTGTTCCCACTCGTTTGCCAGTGAAGTCACATTCGAGGTTTGTTCTCACTTTTATTCGCCTCGTCAGCTTTAACACCATACTAGATTTCGTTCACCAATTGGCTTCTGACTTTTGCATCGACTTGGTTATCACAAACAATTCGATCGTGCGTGAACTCGGGTTTGTTGCATGGGCAGAATCTACACTTAACGAGATGGACTAAAATGGTTGAAAAGCAAGCTTTTTAAGTTCCACAGGTGGTTACAACTTAAGTTGGTTTGTCTTACTGTTTGTACCACTGAAGATGTATACAATACTATTGCGAAAACCGGGAACAATAACTCAAACTTATCATGGGGTGGGTGGAAAATTAGTCCACGGAGGTGGATTGTAACGGAAAAAAGCGTGTTGCGGTGCAGCAAATAACCCACCATGGTAGAATACTGTTAAGACTAAACGAATAAGGACTTGCCATATTTCTCATCCCCGAAGCACCGACAAAACTGTCCCAAAGACATTTTACTCGACGAAAATGGCATCAGATTATAAGCCTATCCGTAGCATCCACCTAGCTAGAGTCAGTTTTTAACCGATCTGGTCACCGGACACTGGAGATGAGTTCTACTGTGTTAAAACCATGGTATGATTTGACGGCAGGCAATAGTGAATACGTCTGGATGATATCAGGGTGTATCATTAATTGACACGCTATCGTTCCGGACATATTAAGTAGTACGGAAGAAGCAATTCGAATAAATGTCACAAAGCACTCCAGTAATACCACTGCCCAGTGGTAGAACTGTCGAATAGCTAGTAAAGTCAGTTAATCTTGTAGTGGGAATCTGCTACTTGAATAGCTATTCAAAAAATCGGGATGAGTTGCCAGCCCCGTTGTTCTACTATACTTCAGGGAAGGAGAAATAACGGTAGCCTTTACACATCACCAGTGTATCAGTGTGTTATTTCATCCCAAACTTCTTTCAGAGCACTCCCACTAGGCAGGAAGACATCTCATAAAAAATTGTATCAGACAGGTAGCCAAACTACGGTCCACGAGTTCGTTTTACGCAGTCTGCTGCTACACGGTATCCAGCAAAATCAGTTCATTTTTTCCTGAAGAAACATGGAGATGAATGTTGCAAAAGGGAGCATGAACAGTGCAGTAAAAAGGCAGCCTGATTGGGCAGCCAGAAGATGGACGGACTGGAAAGTCAAGTGAGCGGAATTCTTATTCCTCATTTCCGGTGTGCGTGCGTGTGCCTCAGATGGTCCGTATCGCAGGATCAAAGCTAACTGAGTGTCATCCAAACATAACCTTGAAGCGCTGGAACAAATATCGATGTACGTCATAATATGAATGAACGTGACATTTGTGCCTTGAGCAAGCTAATTTGGAAAATGTCATTCTTCTGGCAAACAGCTGCACAGAAAACGAATGTTGGCGAAAATATAGTCACAAATAGCCAGAAGGGATATCCGGCTGACTGAAAATCGTTCTAGATGTAGTGCAACCGGGTTGCAATTAGAACCTATTGATCTGCAAGCAACTCGCATTTTAAAAAAGCATGGGGAATCTTCAAATTTAACGGAAGTTCGTTGGATATATCAGCTAATTCTGGAGAAGGAACAGTTGGTGAAGTGAGTAGTGATTCAGTCTGGTTGTACTGGTGGAAAGACTCGAACTCATTCTATAAAGGTCACAAAAGGGAGTTGATAGGATTGGGTAAAACGGCTACTGTATAGAGGTTTCATTCTAAAATCTAGTCATATTTTATTCATGTCCACAATATCATAGCCATATTAGAGACCGGTTGGTGACTGAGAAAGTCTGGAAACCTCCGGACCGAAAAAGTCGTCGGTTGACGAAGCCGTAGTGAAGCCCGGTCCCATAGACTGTCTAGAATTTCTTTACAAGAACACTACTTGCAAAAATCAGTAGTAAGAAATAACTCAGCAATGAGGATGAAGCAATCCGACCGACAGTCGTTCATGACACGGAGTCCGCTGGTTACTTGATCCACCTCTGTGAATAAAATCATCGTTCGGCAGAAGTATCAAAGCATACTCGGTCTCCGAAGTACGTGGGCGCATGTCAGTAACACTGATACAAAGACAAATGCAATACATGCAGGTTGTGCACACATGTAGAAGACCGTTGTGAAGACAGATTCGTATAATCCCCCAAAAACGACCAACTAGAAATTTGAAAACGTTGCATTTCGAAAAACACTGGATTCGTTGCATAGCGAAAGATCATTTTGATCGGTTGGAGTCGAGGTGCAGACTTCGAACACTGCACTAATACAGGCTTAACTAATAAAGCGAATGGATGTAACCACATTAGGCATCCATTCGAGAGCAACACCACCTCAGATAGGATAAAAATACACACTTCACTCAAATAGGAAGCGAAGCACCTAATCCCAAATGAACTCGAGTGAACTGACGGGGAATCGATCACTGGTTCGTACTCATTATCAGATGAAACTACACTTAATAATGTCCATTCGCAACTGAATGAATGTCTGGAGGTGTAGGCACCTCGGAATGATTGTGTTAAGCTAGCACTAAGTCCTTTCCCCGTCCACCTTTATTCTTTTCTTTATAATAAGGCTTTCAAATAAGTTATGGTTGTACGGCAGTGAAGCATCGGTGTTGAACACTGACGTCAGTCGATCGATGATGATGATGATGTCATTCGCAACCCAATGTATACTAAGTCAACAATATGCTGACCAAAGTTAGCACGGTGAATCTAACCGACGAGCTGATTGAAGACGATAGACTTACTATTCAGCATAACGTTCAGCTGTAAGAGCTGTTGACTTTGACCAGTTTTTGTGGGGGAGAGGGATAATAACGGGCAACAACGTCGCGAGACAAACAGCAACTGTGTAAGCCGAAACCCATGTGGGTGTCCTAACCGAAAAATAACAGCGGCTAGGGAGAAATTTAGGGAAACTAAGAGCACTGGCAATTCGTGTTCATATGGATGTAGCATGTTAACCTGAAAAATACTTACTGTTCGAGCTCCCTGAAACGCGATCCTTCCACCCATTTTTCCTCAAAATGTGCGCCCTGTCGTTGTGTGATGAACTGGCCAAGACGTAGTCGATCCTCCATCACCTTCTGCCGGGTTGTCTTGCGTTCCAGTGTACTCTGTGATGGGAGACATTAGAACTCGGCGATCAAACGAACAAATAACAATCAAGTATGACTTATCCTTGTTCCCAATAGTGACCGTGCTATATATATATATATATANNNATATATATATATATATATATATATAAAACTAGAGGAAACACAAGTCAACAAGGGATATGCCATTAGAGCCTGGGAAGCTCGGTCACAGGTTTTTCTCTTCATTATGGAAGCTAATTAAGTGGCGGATGAGTTGCAACACAGATGAAAGGCTTCGTGCGCCCTATTTTTTCTGAATCAGATCATACGTTTACAAACAATGAGATAAAATCAAGGTTTAATTCGCGGCCCTCTGCGAGCATCAGTGGCTAATCGGGTAAAAACAGATCGAACACCGAGTGCTAGTCGGATTGTCCAAGGTAAGTCAACATACGGATAAAAAGACGTACCCACGGGTCAAACAGTACCGTTCGAGCAAAACTGTTGACCAGGATTAGCTTTACCTGGGCAGTATCGAAGGTCAATTATTTACTGTCGGTTAGATCAACTTTCATTTCGAAGTACGGTGTTCTATGGAATGATCACATACTCTCGGAACCGACAAAAACCACACCCCTACTGAAGTCTCTTCGGTAGTACTCTTGTAACAGCTATTTATATGGCTCATGTAGAAACCAACTGACTGTAGATACAATTGGATGCTGACGCGGTGGAGGACGAAGCATCTCTGTCATCAAATGCTTCGTTAAGGGATCTGACAAATGTAGATCAGATAAAATATTCCGGGAGAAAACAAACTAGAAACTTAGAACGACCTGGTTGATTGACTTTCAAAACAAGGTGTTCCTTATTCCCCACTCTTGCGAGATAAGTTCTGTACAGTTTGCCCGTCGTTCGGCACGAGTACTCTTTATATGGCCTTGTGAAACGAAACCTGTCCAAAACTCAAAACGCATCCCGTGTGGAACTGGACAAAAACTCCACATCGGTATCTCCTCTCGGTACTTACTGTGTACCAACTTCGAAGATCACCGAACTTTTTAGATCAATCTCGTACCAAACCGATTGGGATGGCGTTTCTAAGTTGCCTAGGGACAAAAGTACATTCAGCACACCACGCTTTCAACCATGTAACGTGTACATGAATTGCCGTGCGATATTTCGCCGAACAGAATAATCATATTGGATGCACCCCTATGAACGTATGAGCTACCTAGAGCACCAGTTCCATATGATGGATACTTTCTGTCGCTATTTGTTGCACTATGTATCTCACCCTGGGTGTGATGCTGATTCAACGGCACTAATGGCAACTGTAAGATAGAACAGATACCCGTTACTGCCACCCTTTCTAAATAGTCAGAGCTGTGATTATAAGTACGGGGTCGTTAATGCACCAAAAATACTTTCCAACCCTAATGACTGGGCCGATCTTTTTTTGGAAGAAAATCCCTTGGAAGACGGTCTATATCTTATAACCCAACACAACCGGGACCAATCCGTTTCGTTACCTTCTTCGGAGAGAAACATTGCAATTACTACGCAGATTACTGAGAAAACTTGCCGTTAGTGACATGTTTCGGGCTTTTCAAAAAGTGAGCATAAAGAGACTACAAAAACATGGTCCCAACGCGTTGCGAAAATAATGGTTGTCATTTAAACTACATGTTTACCGAATCAAGAACCGATCGGTAGACAACAGAGTTCGGCTCTAGAAGATAAGAAACGCGAGGAGATGCAGTCGTTGCTGTAAATAACACTACGCAAACCCAAAACAACAAAGTATACGTGCGTAAAAGACTAACCTTGTCGATGAGAAGCTCGCGTATGACTTCTCGGGAACGCAAACCGCTTTCCTGTAACTTAGCCACAGTCTCACGCTGGAAGGTCAACTCATGTTCCAGATCAGCCATTTTTCGTTGCAGAGTCTCTATGGTCGCGTTCATCGTGGAGGCTGGTGCACCGGGAACCAAACTTGCTTTAACCGGGGAAGTAGTGACAGATACAACGGAATCATCAGTACACTCTGAGGAGTGGGGGAACGGGAGCAAATCTTCTGTCTGAACAGCAGTGTGTGATCGATAAGATGATTTGCAAGCGCACTGAGTGGAGTTTGACGAGATGGGAAAGTTAGAGGATGAAACAGCCGGAGCAGTCCCGAGGCTGTTCGAAGGGGGATGGGGGTAAAATGGAACCTGACTCACGAAGGAGCCACAGGACGTGCCAATAGCGGGAACACGGTTATTACTAGAAGATACGAACGTGGGTGGCAATGAGGTGGCAACGACCGCAGTGCTAGGAGGGATGGAGGATACTGCGGGATTTATGCTGTTTGGGTTGCTCAAGCAGACTGGGATCTCGCCTGAACTATCACTTAGACTGGTAGCATTGTTCGGTCTGACAGGCGAAAGTTGAAAGGTCATAGGGGTAGTGTTGAGGGCGTGTAGACCATGATCAACACTGCCACAGCTAGTGCTGATCGCTTCGTTTAGCGATGGGATGTAGCCAGGATTGGGCAAGTTTAATGGATCCATAGAATGTTCAGTAGTTGGAGACTGCAAAGTGAAAAGACAGATAAGTTGAGGCAATGAAAGACATTCTTTTGAGACACATGAACAGCGGGCTTTTAATAGAACACGTGTGCAAAAATGCGCAATATGGCACAAAAATACTTCAACGTCGGGCCGAATATGATGTCCCGAAGGGAGCTAACATCCCAGATAAGGATGAGGACCACAAATTGTCATCCTCGGCTGCGAAAGCCGCGTTGTTGCAGTAGTGGTTGCGGCTGTCAGTTCTGTTCGCCAATGTTTTGGAAATGTGAGGTAGATATCTTGGCGCTGGATGCGGTAGCTGATATAATTAATGCATAAATACAGGGGATTTCGGTGGACTTTTCAGGGGGGAGATAGGGAGGAGTGGTATGCATTGAAGGAGCTTGGATGTGGATGCGGTAGCTGATATAATTAATGTATAAATACAGGGGATTTCGGTGGACTTTTCAGGGGGGAGATAGGGAGGAGTGGTATGCATTGAAGGCAACAGCTTGGATGCACGATTGCCACTAAGGGTGTGACTAGGCCATATCCCTAACTATTTGTGCTCCGTCCCGGGGTCCCCATCCAAGGAAACAGCAATGACCACAGATTGTGGAAAGTTATGGATGTTGATAAAGATAATCGTTCAGCTGTAACACCCTTCCAGTGCCTAGCTGCCATGTCACCCGAAGGCTGGGATACTGCCAGGTTGCCCACTGGGCTAGACAGGGGAAGTCAAGAGGCAGAGGTCAGGTTCGAACCACGGACCTTCCGGTCAGTAAACTAGCGCTCTAACCACTGAGGCATTTCGCCCCATGGATGTTGGGGCGAACCCGACGTCCTTGGAGGAAGCGTTGATGGAATGTCATAGATAGTATTAATCTTCCACATTTTTCTAATGGGTGTGTAGCTAAAATCAAGCATAATATAACCAGGACTCACGCTGCTAATTATCTGAAGGCTACTAAATGTAGGACATAGAAACGGGGTCAATTGAAAGAAGCAGACAGAAATTGTGGAACGTTGTGGAACTCCAGCCTAAACCTACACAAGGCAGCACTTTATAAATGAATGGTAGTGGCGCCTAATGTGCTTACGAGTTTGCCCAGCCTCTCTCCATCTCTGATCGAAACCCATGGGCAATCGGGCGTAGTCAGTCTTTACCAGTTAGAGAGACGTATTGAGTAAAATTATCGCGTTTCTCACCACTACAGGACAGACATCGCCACGGATAATATAGCGCCAATCAGTGAGATAAGCGGTATCAGTATAGCATAAAGAACTACCCTGTCCAGACATAGTTGAAAGTCTGATCGGCTGAAGCACGTCAAAATGGTGTCCACGAACGAATAATCTAAACCTCCGTAGAAACAGCGGTCCAAATCAGGGGCGCTATATAGTTCCTATGGCCAGTAAGATATCATTTCGCGCGCCAACGTCCTACGGCTGAGTCGATTACCAATACATATGATACCAGCGACTGGATTCGGGCCCTGTTGATTTTGGACAATCGCCAGCAAACGAAATCAACTTAAGGTGCATAAGGCTCGTCCACACACAAGATGCGGCGATGTGTACCAGGAAATGAAGCAGCACATAGTGAACACAAATCGACAAGGTGCTCACCAGCTCAAATATATGAGAATATACGAATACAAGGTTCAACACGAACGAAACAACAGGAGCATGTCGTTAGGTGCACTGATTTGGTAAAATAAGTGGCTAAATACATCAAATGACGAACTGGACAAAAGTCGTCATCAGAGTTATTTGCGCGAGACAACGAACATAATAATGAGGTGCACGTGAGGAGCAGCAATGTTGGTTTGAATGCAGTGTGAGGTAATCAGATCTACTAGACCACTCACTGGACTCTGAGCACGCGCACTCCGTATTGGACTGGTTGAGTCACAGGAAGCATACAGCGGTCCGGGTTGAGACTGGAAACAAAGCGAGGAGTTCAGTTCAGGATAACAAAGAATAGACCAATTGAGTAGTGATGAAAACTGTGCGGACGGTTAGTTGCATAAAGCTAGTCAAGTATGAAAATACTGAATAATCGGGATTCCTCCCACCCGCCACGAAAGCAGTAATTAGTACAATACATAACCAAACCGTCCTCAAATAGACATTCTCCCAACATACGGTAACCATTCTGGAAGGAAAGATTTTAGGGAACTTGGAAAAACTCTCGGAACTCCGCAAACTTTTCGCGAAGAGCATTTTCCCCACGTGGAGTACTTCTCGTTATTGTCGAATGCAGTCGCATTCTTTCATCATAAAAACGTGGAATGTTACCACAACTCATCCACAACTATTCCGGCAAAAGTGCACAAAACCAACAGAGCAAAGGGGAAACGTGGTTCAAGTGTAGTACCGCCAGTTGTTGATCAGTGGTTGTTGATCTGTTCGCCAAACTTGGCAACTGACTAGCAAACGTCTCGTCACATATGAAGATAGTACCGCCAGTTGTTGATCAGTGGTTGTTGATCTGTTCGCCAAACTTGGCAACTGACTAGCAAACGTCTCGTCACCATATGAAGAGACATTACCAGTGCGCAGTTGGATGCATATTAAACTAATAATCAGGATCACCTGGCGGACCCGCTGAACGTTTTGTTACGGCCTGTGGAGTCAATCATAATCATTTGAAGGAGAGATGCCATCTTAGTTTGACGGGTGACAATCACAAGGTAGCCGTAGGGGTTCCAGTATGGCATTTGACGTTTTGAACCGAATAGGAGATCAGTCAAACAATATGAAAGGCTACATCATTTGAATTCCGAAAATCTTCCACGCATACTAAAGGCAGACACAAGGTCAATAAGTTCGAATCATAAGATGACCTTTTTCACGCCAGTGTCACTGTTGAAGTCTGCAAACATAGTTCCATAGGTAGGACATTAGCTTCCATCGTACCTGACTGAAACATTTTCGGAGTAAAAAAGCGTGTTGGTAATAATCAAGCCAGGAGCTGCGCACAGATACAAAAGGCCACTGTCGTTCACTGGCCCGATTCCATCAGACCGTAGTATACTCTTCCCAGATTCTGAATCTTGACCAACTAGGGCGAGAAAATCCCCCATTAGGACGAGATGGCAGCTGATGAGTATTGATTGAATGACCCTCGACCGTCGAGTGGAAAGCCTCTTTCCTCATCTTCAGAACGAGACGTGGACGCACCGGCACTCGCAAACGAGCAAACCGCTCTCCTCCTTTGAGTTGAATTCAATTTGCATCATTCTTGAATCGATGCAGTTCAGTTAACCAACGAATACTGCAACCAAGATCCTGGAAACTGTAAATCCAACTCGATGTTCCCGTCGACTGACAAGACTCCAGTCAAGAAGAGTATCGGAATAGAAGCGTTTTCCCTGATTGGCCAGTCTTGTCTCCTTCAACGCGGCAATGTCTACACCATGCAATTCGAGTCCCTTGTCTGCAAACCAATCACTATCCTACATTTCTAATAAAGCCCTAATGTTCAACGTTCAGAGTGATACTACTCCCTAAACAAGGCATCTTCGTGTTTGATCAGGGATTCGGAAATTGGTTCCCTTTCAGATGTCGGGGATGAGAATCAATTGGTTTGAAATAACCCACCTAGACCCAAACACATGTAGGTTTCTCCATCGGCCCAACACTTGTTCACCCACCCAAACACACAAAAATCCCTCGGCCGACACCCAAAAGAGACTTAGCATGACTTAGCTGATTGGTTCTCCTTCCGCTTTAAATCTCGACCAACCTCGGAACCTAGTCACTTGACCTGACGAAGATTTTTTGTCAAAACCGAAACGTTGCCAACCAATAAATCTACCGATTATTACCTAACTTTTCCGAAAACCAACCTGGAACTTTTAACGTCAGGGTCTGACCGGCAAGACGGCTGGTGGCTAGGTTTTCTTGAGGGGACGTTTCAGAAATTAGTAACCCAAAGGTCCGGCCCACTTGGCTGAGAAGGGCTGGTCTATTCCGGGGATGCATAGAAAGTCATGTATAACTCAATTCTAACACTGCTGTGCACAGCACGTGTTCGCTTGGCAACCCTGGTCTGTTGATTGACTAAGTTGTGAACTTACTGGCCAGAAGGTCCACCGTTCGAAAACAATCCGTGCATCTTGGCTGCTCCTGTCTAGGCATGAGCAAATCGGCAGTAACTTAGCTCTCGTGTTTGCTTAACTTTCAAGGATCAATGATGATCCATTAGTATTGTACCCCTGTTGACCTAAACTTTCCGAACCGGTGAAACCACAGCACAACAGAACTAACATGTATTTCTTGTTTCAGATCACACAGAAGTCAAGTCAATTGAACAAGCTCCTAAACAACAATGATAACGATGTCTGTTTTGGCACTTGCACAAATCACAGTTCTTGTAGTGCCGACCCCGAGTGAAGACTCCCATTGGATCCCGCTTCTCAGCTGTGTACTGCGAAATATAGTCGTAAGGTGGCTTTGCTAATGACAACAAAGTTTATATCACTCATCGCAAAGGTCTGAATGAGTCAGACCAACAAGAAAATTGTACAGCTATTCGGCTTAGTCCGTTTCCAGAGATTGGCTTGAAAGAGCCCTTTGCTCTCGATAGCACTAAATCTAAGGATTCTGTGGGAAATTTGTCGCATCTATCATAATCGGACGTGAATGTGGAATATGATGCCGAGGTAGATACCAGCCAGGCATAGAATGGAATTATATGCTATTGTTGCAGGCCAATGACGGCGATGATGATTCGGCGCAGCAATAAATTGGCGAACCTTCCGTTAATTGTTTTAGAGGCAAGAGAATCTATAGAAAGTGTCAAATATTTGGATGTGGGTTGAATGAAGCCTGACATACTGGAGTGTACGACGGTAGTTAAATATTCCGTGAGGCGTACCGCATCTGAAAGACGAAAAGCTTAACTTAGTTGAAAATGTCACAAAATGCACTTCTAGTGATCTTCGAGGCTGTTATATTCACTCTGGATGATCGTGACAGGCTTGTATTATCGTTTCCACGTTTCTCCTTATAACGGCAGTCTGTTTGAACAAACTGGTGTGATCAAACATCAATGTTCTCACAATGGTGATTATTTCCAAAACTCGTACTGCGGGTAGCATTCGGTCATGTTAACTGTGTTCGGGAAATCCAACTTATGTCTTCATGAACGGTCTCAGCAACCCCTATTTGCCAAACCACATGAGACATATGTTTCCAATTAAAATGCGTTTGTACCATGCAAAATAAGGTACGTCATACGATTAGTGCTCTTTTTTCAATAAGATTCACAAAGAGAACATCTCAAAAAGCTAAATATTCCATCAGACACGGCCCATGAATGAATAATAACTTAATATTTGTGCTCACCTTGAAAAGTTCGTCAATCCGTTTAGAACCACGATCCTGGCATGTAGACTTTCGTGACCGCTGACCGGGTGTGTCTTCGAACGTAACAGGTCGTCTCCGTTTCTTCCCACTGCCTTTCGGAGCTTGTGGATCAGGAGTACCGACAAACGAGAGGTTGTTCGATCGTACAGATGGAGAGCAGCTTTGATCTGCTGCAAAATACCCGCTAGAAATAGGAGGCACCAACAACTGTGGTCCAGAGATAACGGCAGCGGATCTATCACTCGCTCCAGGATTGGACTTGGTTGGACTGTTACTCGAACCAGTCAGTAATTGCATTTGTTCGGAATTAGACCGAGAGGTGTAATGTACGTACTGCGGAGATGTCATATGGACAGGCTGTATGCAGGAATGACCAGCTGTATTATTGGCCAACTCATTAACACGGGAGTCCATACCAACAGGAGAGTTTAAATCATCAATACATCCGGCACAACCTACTCCGGCCAGGTCACTGTAAGAGTCCATCCCAGAGATAGAACGTTTAGGTGTTGTGGGAACGTGAATTTGGTCTAAAGGTGTTTTCGCGTCTGAGTTTGGTAGTAGCTGTAGACCGAGATGGTCAGTGGACTCTCGAATATCTTTCCCTTGCTCAGGAACAAAAGTGGAACCTATAGTCTGATCGACGATAGGTATTCGATCAGAGGCCAAAGACGGATCAACAATACAGGATAGTCCATTGTCGTTATCGCAGCCGGTCCCACCAGCTGGGCTTGAAGGATCTAACTTTCCCAGGACAGGCGTGGCGTCAGCAGTTTCCGAACTATCTTCTGTTGTACATTGCAAGTGGCCAGAAGAACCTAGCTCGCTTCTAGAGTCTGTGCTAGTATTGGCTCGATTGAAGTGGTTAGAACCTTGAATCCGTGCTTCTAGAAGTTCGTGTTTTCGAGGATCCACATGAAGTGGCATACTTTGCTTTAGCACCCTAAAATGAGAAAAAAATTGTTAGTTCAAAAGCCGTACGAAAAATCGAAGACCAATGGGATTCCCGTGAATTGATTTACCACTTGATTGGATTGAAACGCGAAGAAACACAAGGGAATGAGGATGTGGTCTCAGACCATCCAATGTCAACGACATTTTGAAGGAAAAGTTATGTAAATGAAAGGAAAAGTGGAAGACACAGTAGCAAACGGTTGCAACAGGTAAAAACCTACGATTAGCAACCGCATGTTCAAGTAAGAAATCGGACTGATAGAAATTCAAGCACTACACCTATCTGGAGAGTCATTAGCATAACTTTTTCCCCACAGGGGAATAGTTGGGGTGACTTCATTTATATTGCGACACTCGTATCGGTTTTGTTTTATAAACAACCGCCGGTTCTTGCCCCAAAACTGTCTAGAAATATTCGCCGCGAACAAAGATTTCGTTTCTGTTTGCAGTAGGCATACTCCTTTCGTGTTTCTCAGACACTGTAGAGCACAATTTCAGTCCGAGGACTCTGATGAGTTACTTGTTGAAACAAAGCGAGGCACCGTTGTGCTCTCTCTGACGCAGCAAAGCGTGGAAAAGCTCTTGGATGTCGTCACTGCAAAAACCTGGTTCCATCGGTGGTAGCAACAGGTCGATAATGCTGGGTCATGTCACCAAGTTCAGTACGAGTGCCATCTTTAAAAATGAGCAATACCACTGATGCAGGGCATTGGTTAGGGCAGTCTCCCCAAACAGTAGATGAATCAGACAGTAGTGGTTAGAAATTTGACCGAACCAGAAGCCGTGGCGTCCCTAAGATGAAGTGCATTGGTGAACCTCGATGTTGTTGTGGGCCCCGTGATAATCGCTAACTGACCTCATCGTTGGGAAGTTTAAAGTAATCGTGTCTACCAACTGGTGTTCGCAAAGCATCGTCCAGGGATCTCGGAAATAGTTACAACCGCAGAAAACTTCAATCCATCTTCATTGATATGTTTGTGTAAGATCATCTCTGGGTACTGCGCGCCGTTGCAAATAGAACTTACTTTTTCGGTCATATCTTATTCCACGAGACCAACCTTGGAGCATGACGTCAAATAGCATGTGGCTTGAGACATCGAGCCGTTGACAGTCATGAAGCAATCGACCTGACAAGTCCATTTCAGTCTAACCCCAGCCCAGTATTCGAGCACCTTTACATGAGGCTCCCCAATTAATTTCCATGTCCGTTCCCTGAGTAGCATGATGTCGGAATACGTAGCGAACTGTAAATGAACTGGGGGTACTGTTGATAAAAAAATCGTTCAGCTGTAGCACCCTTTCGGTGCCCAACACTGCCATGCCACTAGAAGGTTGCACGAGGGCTGGGATACTGCCAGGTTGCCCAAGTCTAGACAGGGGAAGTCAAGAGGCAGAGGTCGGGTTCGAACCACGGACCTTCCGGTCAGCAAATTCGCGCTCTAACCACTTGGGCCGTCTCGCCCCGTACCGTTGATAAGCACCGTTACAAACGTCCTTCGCCAGGCAATATCAACTTTGAATGTCGTCATTATCGAGTTGGGCGGCGAATTATGAGCTACACGATGAAGATGGTGACTGTGGCGTCTGAGATCAATATAAATCTTTGTAGCCTGGACGACTGAAACTGGCACGTTTACGATACCTGAACCGGAAATAACGAGCGTAAAGGCACCTATTGGAACGATAGAAACTTGTGGATGTGTTCAATTTTCGGCCGGGCTTGCCCTCGGAATTTCCTGGGACAATGTAATTGCATTGCTTGCATGGACACAACTGCTAGAAGTAGCAGCCGACTTACCGACCATTGTCGTGTCGTGATGAAGTGTTGATATTCGATGGTGAGGTTCGGCAACGTCAGATCGGCAAACCGTTCAATGAAGTGAGAAGGCTGCGCTCTGATGTTTACATCTTCGGACGACTGGAAACCGAAGGCAAAGACGATACACGTGAATTGGTTCTCCAACACTGAGTTGATTGACCGAGCTGATTGAGCCAATTGACAATACCGGTAAAGAGGACAAAAATTACCGAAATACACTTGCATACCAATTTGGTTTTGACGCGAGACTCACCTAGGACCCAGCTGAATCCCTAAGTTGCTTAAGAACATCATAAAGGAATGTGCTGCACCAGGGCGCATGTTTCAGTTGGTACGAAGGAGGCGAGATGTCTCAGTTGTTACTGACCAGAAAGGCCGTGGTTCGATCGCTGCCTCTCGACTTCCCTTGTCTGGGCTTTGGCAACCTGGCAGTATTTCAGCCCTCGTGCATCCTTCGGGTAACATGGCAGCTAGGCACCGAAAGGACGCCGCAGATGAACAATTTATATTTTTATGGTACGATATTCGAGATATCGCGATACACCATATAGACCCGATGCAATACTCATAAGGATAAAATCCCGACAACCCACGACCGGTTTTGTCCTTCTTGAGACTCATCAGGTAGGCGCAATCCCTAGGTCTTCGACAACCTTATGCTGTACTTGAACCCAACCTGAGGCCGTGAGCAGCCTCATGACAAAGAATTCAGTACCCCACTCATGCTCCGATGTGATAAGTTTTTCATCCGCCATCGGACTCTGGAAAATCAGTCTGTAACACTCCTTAAGCTAGGAATCAGAAGTGTGACCAGAGAAAGGGCCAAATGTGAACTCTATGGTTGAGACCGCAGCTGCGTGAGCTAAAGAGACTGAAAGCTCATTGGTACCGGCTACTGGTGTTTAGACGTGCGATCTATTAGTCAATGATTCAATGAGCTTGTCGTGTTAGTTCAATCTGCTTTTGCTACCGTTGTAACAGTTCTCTGAGCTGATTTAACTTTATGGAAATCGTGGATTCCCGTTCGCGAGTAGTAATAACGGTTTGATCATCCCAAACTAGCAGTTTCAGCCGAGGAACATTCAAAGGTACATAAAGCGCATTTATCCCACAAAATAAGTCAAAAAACATGTACAACGAGCCGCATTTGAGGTGTATGTAAGGACAACATTAGGGAAATCGGGACGCTCTGGGTGTGCCATTGGCAACCGGCATTCAGTGGATACTGTGATACGACTGGCTGTAGGACCCATATCTACGGCAAATTAGAGCTCGTCTGGATGCCAAGCGGACACGCTGACCGATCTGATCAGTCACGTGCGTGTTGGGTCTAGTAGCCGTTGCAGAGCCTAACCGCGAGTCATAAGGTGGTTTTTGCGTAAGATTAGGCCTAACACACCTCCAGATCTTTACTGACGGAAAAAGATACACCTTAGTTTAAGAATCAATGAGATGGTGGCTACTATATGCGACATGAGAACGAGCGCATAAATCCCCAGCGGTAACGCCGGCCAAACCACTCATGATGAGAGATGAGTCTGAGAGATGAGACTTTCGGAGGACCTTTACTACACCAACCAAAGGAAATTTACGCCAAATATATAGATTCTGGATGACCTTAGAGAAAGAAAAAAATTATTGGTACATGCAAAGCGTGCCAAGCCGGTAGGAAAGCGCAGCCTTTTGAAAGCATCCAAGATGATAGGGAAAAGGCGCAAAAAATCGGAATTCAATAACTTGGAAAACGAATAAATATAATGCACTGCTCCTAAGGTGGTTGGAAACTCCTCGACAGCCCACGACCTGTTTCACCCTTCTTGAGGCTCATAAGGCGCAGTTCCCGAGTTTCCGCTCATAGTTTTTAAGCTTAAAACCCGAATGGGTTTGCAAATAAGTATATTCCGCTTAGGACTAAATTAGACAGATAGGGAGTTTTTGGGGATACTCAAATCCCCAGTACCCAGGGACGCAAGTCTTATTACAAACAAGCGAGTACAAGATTACGAACGCTGCAGCATTTACAGACCACTTTTCCCTTGAGTCTGAACTTTCCGATCAGCAGTGCTCCTTGAACATGCCGAGCAACGTCGGTTGTCCCTAACTGGCTACTTGAACGTCAGTCGGCACCTCACCGGATGGTATAAAGCGATTTGCTGGAGTTGTTGGTTACCATCATCATCAGTGTCATCAATAAGGGCAGCACATCAGTTCAACACTGATGTTTCACTGCTGTTTTTGATTCTCAGTAACTTTCAGACATTACTTGCAAGAATCTGGCCTTCTTGACATTGTTTGGCGTCCCCCTTTATGTCAAATGGGGCCTTTTTACACCCTTCCCCTCTGAGTATCTGAAGTGCGTTTGAGTTTCAAACCGTTACACACTTTCATTCGACTTCGGATAGAATAAAGGTGAGCAGATATGAATCAACCATAATCCGGACAAAATTTTGCGGGTGTCTCAATTTCAGGACTGTAACAGCAGACGTGGGGCCCTTCACTGGAAAAATCTCTTGCCATTTGTAGGCATCGGCAATGATGATGATCATCATTTCCAGCTGTAAGAAACTCCGTACTTGTCGTATAGTGGTTGTAGCTGCCACAGTTCCGTTCACCGATGTTTTTTAAGGGCAGGTAGCTGTGCATTGAAGGCAGGAGCTGATAAGTTGGTGCGTAAATACAGGACTGCATTGAAGGTAATAGCTTGGACGCACGAGCGCCATTGAGGACACGACTGGGCCATGTCTGATAGAGAAGCGTTAATCCCATAGCCACTATAAAGTCGAGATCAGGGTTCGACCGGCAGCAACGATTGCGAGTTTGCTTGTGCAGTGGGAAGGGGTTGGGGAGGGACATCGGTGGACGCTGAACTGCGCGGGCAAATGATACTCCCCGGTTGCCCAGGTCGAGGAAGGGGGTTTGGTTGAGGCACCCCACCTTGAGCCTTCGACTCAAAAGTCTGACCCACAAGGCAGTGGGATGACGTAAGGTTTTGTTCGGGGACCCTGACCCTAGCCTCTGACTCAAAAGTCTGACCCACGAGGCAGTGGGAGAGTGTGGGGTTTTGTTCGGGGACCCTGACCCTAGCCTCTGACTCAAAAGTCTGACCCACGAGGCAGTGGGAGAGTGTGGGGTTTTGTTCGGGGACCCTGACCCTAGCCTCTGACTCAAA